CGTCAGTCCAGGGAGGCCAGACAGGTTGTTTGGGCAGCACAGGTTGGGTAGAGACTAAATACAGGCCCAGAGCTGAGATCCTCCGGAGTGTAAGGACATAGCTACCTGCTCCTTGAAGATTCACCCCGGGCCTGTCTGCCTGTCTCTCCCTGAAGGGCCATGGCTGGGCCCCACCTGTGGGTTGCAGGTGAAATATAGCCCCCCGGTGGTAGGAGACACTGGTTGTTGCATCGCCTTTCTCAACCAGGACTCCTCTCTCACTTCCTTTCTCTTTGGTTTGCGAGTGGGAGTCGGGGGTAGGCAGGGAGACTGTTGGGGGAAAGCTGGGGAGTTTAAAACTCCTGCCTGTGGTTCGTAGGTTCTGCACCAAAGGCTGTTACTCTCAGTATCCCAGGAACTTGCTTCAGCATCTGGACTGTAATGCTAAGAACACAAATCCAGCTGCTCCCTCAGAGTGTGAATTTCTCTGTCCTTGAGTTAGGTCATGGTAGCCTTAATCCAGCATAGTTTAAATTGTTGGAATTCTCAAAATACTATGTATGCTTGTACACCAGTACACAGTTCACTTTCTAAAGTAATTTTATTTATGTGAGTTTTTATTTTTATTATTTATTTACTTTTTTAAAAATATGTTTTTTTTTTATTTTAGAGACCAAGGAAGGGAGTGGGGGGAGAGAGAAAGAGAGAACCATCAATGGGTTGCCTCAGGCATGCACCCCTACCAGAGATTGAACCCAAAACCTAGGCATGTGCCTTGACCAGGCATCGAACCGGCAACCTTTCAGTGCAGGGGAGAACTCTCAACCAACTGAGCCATACCAGCTAGGACTACATAAGGTTATAAATTTGCACCCCACTCCCAAAAAAGGTGTGTACTGAGGAATATCTGCACTCAGATGATCAAGCAGCAGGAATTCCTGGTTTCAAAAGGAGTGTAGGCCCTGGCCAGTGTGGCTCAGTTGATTCAGCATTGTCCCACGCACCAAAAGGTCACTGGTTCCATCCCTGGTCACTGGGGCTCGATCCCAGTAGGGGGCATGCAGGAGGCAACCAATTGATGTTTCTCTCTATCTCTCCCCTTCTCCCTGTCTCCCTTCCTCCCTCTCTCAAATCAATAAAAACATATTTTTAAAATAAATAAATAAAAAGGATTGTAGGAAGATTGTGGGGGTTTTTCCTGGGGGCCCAGGGGAGGGTTAAGATTTTTTGGTGGAAACATAAGGAGAGAGAGCACCCAAGGCCGAGAGAGTTCAGTATAGAAAAAAAGGAATAGCACTTAGTACTTGAAATTAAGGGGAGGGAGTTGAGATGACAATTGGTACCTCCTCTTTGATAAGCAGAAGTTGACAGACATGAGGAGGTGATGACCTCTCTAGTACCAAAAGGTCCTGTAGGCGGGGGGTGGGGGGGATGTTTAGGTAACAGTTATTTACTGAGTGAAGTTATCCAGGGATATTTAATAATATTTCATTGTTATCTAGTTATCTGTTTGAATTGTACATAACATTGCAATAAATAGAAAGGAGATACTTAAAAAACAGACACATCTATTGGGTACTTTCACTGCGACCTGCTCCGTAGAACGGGTGTGAACAGGACAGCTTGAGGTGCTGGGCTTGCACACTTCAGCAGTCCCAGGGGAGACTCCAACACACCCAGGTCCCCAGGGTGTGCTCGAGCGTGATGAAATCTGGCAAAGCCACATTCGAATGAAAGGAAATTACTTGACATGTGTCTCCCTCCTGAGTTGGAATACTTAGGTGGAACTTTTGCATTTTACATTATAATAGAGCAGCCCCCCTTCTCTACAGGGGATGCATTCCAAGACCCCCAGTGGATGCCTGAAACCAGGGAGAGTACCAAACCCAGTATATATTGTTTTTTCCTATACATACATGCCTATGATAAAGCTTAACTTATAAATCAGGCACAGTAATAGATTAACAGCAATAATTAATAATAAAATAGAACCGTTGTAGCAGGGCACTGTCATAGAGGTTGTGTGAATGCGTCTCTGTCAACGTCTCATCGCACTCGACTCCCCTTGCGATGACGCGAGACCGTCCGCTGCCCGTGAGGTGGCGTGAATGAACAGACTCTGTTTATTTCTGGAGTTTTCCATTTAATGTTGTCAGACCACTGTTGACTGCGGGTAACTAAAACCTCAGAAAGCAAAACCACAGATGGGGGACCACAGTCTATAGCAGTTGTAAGCACAGGGTTTTGGTTTGTCAGACTTGGATTTAAATCCCTGCTCGGCCGGTTCCACACTCTATGACCTGGGACATTTTATTTCAACTCTCTTAGCCTCAGTTTCCCCAGAATAAAACAAGGTGACGACAGACTCACAGAGCTTTCGTAAGAAATGAAATGATTCATGCAAAGCATTTAACACGGTACTTGATACATAGTAAGTGCTCAAAAATGGGCACTGTGAGGTGGTATTTGTTTTAGTTGTGTATGTGATAAATGACTGGTAAACTGAATAACACAGGAATAGCATGTTGCAGTNAATAAATGTTGACTGGTAAACTGAATAACACAGGAATAGCATGTTGCAGTAAAAGGTCCTCTTTNGATAAATGACTGGTAAACTGAATAACACAGGAATAGCATGTTGCAGTAAAAGGTCCTCTTTAATATATGGGATTTCTTTGCTTTAAGCTTATTTGTGCTCAATTTTCACAAAGAAAGGGATGGCCTAAGAACTTTCTGTAGTGTCCTCTCTAGGGGTCTGGGGACGAGTTCCCTCTGAGAGGTGTGTGGTGCGGAGGCCGCCACTAGAGGGCTCTGCGGAGACCCTGAAAACCCGCCCTTGGGTTTCGCCATGAGAAATCAACCCTGAGAGCCTTGGCTTTTGGGGGACTCACGGGCCATTCTGTTCATCACGGCTGTTCAAGAGGGCAGGAAATAGCAGTAACCCTACCAGAGAAACTTCTAGGAACCACCACTTCTGCCGGAGGCCTGGGGGTATGCAGGCGGATGTCACCAGAAACACCTGGTAGATGCCAAGCCAGGGAAAGCCTATTGCTGTGAGGTCGCCCCACCTCCTGCACTCCACTGAGTTGCCCTTCGGGGGGGAGGGGGAGACTGACATCGTACAGTGGAATATCAGCTTTCACACGGGAAACCAGGGAGAGTGGGAGGTTCTGAACGCTGGGTAAGGACTTCACAGTAACCACAAAACCTACCCTGAATCACCACGGAACCTTCAGATGCCCAGTGGAGGCTGCGGCCAGAACAGGTGGCTGGACGTATGAGAGTGAGATGCCCATAGGCCCTTGGGGTTTGGGGGCCAGCCCAGCCCTGTGCATCCCAGCTGCAGGGACAATGGCTGGGCGCGTTCAGTGGTGCACTGTCACTGCACACATGCTCCTGGGGACTTGTGGTCACTCAGGGATCACCAGCCAGTGACGCAGTAGGTATGTCATTGCTCTTTAACCAGCGGCATTGGCCAGCAGGTTACAGCCGGGTCTGAGCGGGAGCAGTGAGACCGGCGCCTCGGAGGCAGAGGCCAGCCAGCTGGGCGGTGGAGCTTCGCTGCCTCCCAGGCTGTTGGGCCCCCGGACCGGGGCAGGGGGTGCAGCAGAAGGCTCCTTGAGCATTTGTTTTCCTGCGGCTGCTTTGTTTTTGCGGACCTTGCATCTTCCTCCCCAAAAATGAGCAGTCCCTGGGAGCCACACAAAATAATGTACCCCTAGACTCTCTGAGAAGTTAACGGAGTGTGGGGTGCTTGCTTGTCCCGACTCCTCTGTAAACCAACAACTGGGTTCTTTGCGCCGGGAGAGTCAGCCCTCCATTCAGAGTCAAACGCCTCCCTTTCCAAACTTGTGGGACACGGAGGTCAGGCTCTGGGGGTCCCCTCCAGCCCGCTGGTCCCGTGCAGGGCTGCCCCGGGGGCTGCAGCCAGGACAGGGCGCCCGGGCAGGGGCCGGCGGCGG